ATATTTTATGTTTTTTAATTAAAAAGTCATTTTTTAATCATTTTTTATCATCGTGTTTAGTAAGAAATATTCCTTGATTTGAAAGTTGAGGCAGTGAATGATTGTGAATTGTTAAATATCTTTAGATTAGACACAGCTTTTAATTCTTTACTTGTCAAACTTTCTTATTAGAAAAATTAGATTTATTAAAACTTTTCTTTAATGTGTCCTCGTAGGATAATTTAATAACTACTTATAGAATTCGAGAACTATAATTTAGAGCTATTAGCAAGAAAATTTAGTGTGCCGTCCTTCTGTCATTTATCTATATTCTTGTTAGCATTACATTTTCATATGCTGTTTTAGCATTATTGTTGTACCTATAACATTATATTCTCTTCATTCTCTCCACAAAGTCAAGTTTCAAATTTAGGGTCTCAATTCCTTTTATATATCCATTTATTCTTCTTATATTTTCATTAAGTATGTATATCAGTAGAACTTTAGTAAAAGGAAGAACATAATTTGCGTTAAGAACTCTTAATTGTAAAATTTGTAATTTTAAAGTTTTGCATTTGTGTAAGCTCAATTCATTAAATTACGATGAAAGCTTGTTTGGAAAAAATACTTCTGAGGCTATAATAAGATTTAAAATTAACATCAAAATTTGCATTTCATTTGATACTGATGTTAAAGATAAAGATGTGAATTTTCGTCAGCTCTTCCTGGTTTAATTTTTTAAAGTCGAGGATACATAATAAATAAGTTGTAATATTTGAAAAATATTTGTGTGGTATACCAAATTATCATCACATTCATTGTTGCAAATGCAACTTTTTACCATTCTTTGAATTAAAAAATAAATAAATATATATATATATAAATATATATAAATATTTAATATTTCTTTGTAACTATTCAGTTTTAGTTAAGGGAATTAAAAATGTAAAATTAATTTTGCCCATCAAAATATCTTTGGTTATACACGACTAAATATTACATTTGTTAGGCTAAATATAAGAACTTCATATTGCGCTAACAGAATTTCGAGAAGCAATAGACGGTAGGGTAAGAAATGACATATATAAAAATTATTACGTTTCGTTTTCTCGAATTTTTTTGACGATTTTCATCTGAAATTCATCATTTTCAAAGCACCCTCTCACAATTTTATTTTTAGTAACTTATGAACCACGGATATTGAGATAATAAATAAAAATTATTTTTACTATTTAGTGCATTTATCAGTGTAAGTTAAAAAGTCGTTTTTGCGTAAAATTCATTACTTTTAATATAAACCTTTTTTAACACAGTACTTTTTTAACATTTATAATAGTCTCTTTTAAGTATTTCTAAATTAATTTTATAACATTTCTAATTTTTTATATCTTCATTAAAGTAATTTTCAGCCTAAAAAGAATGTATATATTGCTAGCTATAAATAGTCGTTTTTTGTATACATTATTTCATGCTATAGCCAGCGCTTACTAGCTTTGTATCAGGTTTAAAAAATTGAAATATCTACTGTTAATCCTTGAAATAAAGCTACTGAACTCTTGCAGTTTACATCAGGTTTGAACTTCATTTAAAAGGCTGACACTTTATAAAGTTTTCGAAAAATAAGCGTATAGTAAAAAAGATTAAAAATTTTTCAGACCCCGGTGTTCCGCTTCAGAAGAAACCCACACCAATTATTTAAAAATAAAAATAAAATATTAACAACATCAGTAAACAAAAGGTACTACAACATATTAAACTGTAATTAATAAAGAATGGGACAAGTCAGCATAAACAATTTTCTCAACATTTCTTGAGACTATTCGAACTTAGCCCAGAAATTTCATAGCAAAATATGTACACTCATCATTTTGTTATTAAGTTTGGATGGAAAAATACATAAATTCAACACAATTTAAACATTCCGACAATAAATTATATGGAAATTTTTGTAAAACTTTTTCTCGTGTGCGTGAACCTAGCTGGTATCATTTTCTATGGTTCTAGCCAAATTTACCCAAGGAATACTCATATTTATGCAAAGTGTATTTATACAGTGACTACTTACACTGAAAATATGTACACAAAGAACACTTATATGTAGGGCATTTATGCAGAAAAAATTCACACAAAAATACTAAGCCAAATAAATCATATATGTAATTATTCTAATAACGAAACTGAAATCAGAATGTTTATTTAAAGCATTTATTTAGTCACACGCATATTCACAAAGCCTACAGACCATTTCTCTAAGGTCTGCTCTTCATTGGATGAAACTTCTGCTTGGCGGTCATATTTGGAATGGCGAGTTATCGCCCTGTAGGCGTGGTAATTAACGCCAAACAAACGGAAACTGAGTTTATTTCATTCAATATTTTTTTAGTTTATGAATGAAAGCTTGGAGGAATTGTGGGGAATATATTTTAAATAATTTACTGATCTTATTAAAAGTTTATTTGTATTTGAATTTAAACTTTTAAAAGTACGTAATTGTCTTACAAGAAAAATGTGTTTACATGGAGGTAGGATCTGCCCTTTTTCGTCATTTCTGTTAGAAAGAGTCTATTGTGTAAATTTCCATAGCGCATTAATTTATACAAATACAGGAATATTAAAAATTAACCAAATGAAAACATTCAGTAAACATTTAAGGGCGTCAGATACCTATTCTTTTTTACCTAAATTATGAAAAGTATAACTAAAATTATATTTTGTTTCATTATGCGCTATTTCTACTGAAACGCTTTTCGGGAACTTGGATCGTAATCTTGCTACAGGTACCTACTACAAAGAGTACAAAACAGTAAGTAAAAATAAGAAAAATTAACAGTAATAGAGAAAATAAAGGCGTTTAATTTTTAACACCGCACCCGAAGGCGAAAAGACAAATAATGACAAAGTCATTCACTAAAGTTAAAATAAAAATAAATCCGTGTAGAGCAGAGTTTATGAAAGCTACAATCGGGGATAGAACCGAAGATCTAGAAGTCAGAATTTTTTACGCGCTCTTTACCGCTGAGATGCGGTTTCGCCGGAGGGTTATGCACAATTTTTGGTACACTACGCTTAAATACAAATTCTAAAGGCGATGAACCAAATGTCGCCAAGCATTAGGTTCTGCAACACTACGTTTCCTGTTTTAACCAATCGGAGCAAACAGCAGTAGAAACGGTCTGTAGGCTTTATGAATAAGCTAGTCACACAGGCTTTTGTCTATTTTGATTGCGTCAGAGTAGAAGTCTAATAGCATTGTTACAGCTAGTAAATTCACCACTTAGTGAAAATGTTTCAATAAATGCCTTAAATAAATATTCTTAGGTTTAAGTTTCATTGTATGAAAAATATTGACAACTTTTATTGATCTTACTGTGGGAAGTTGTCTTATGTAGGTAATTTTTGTGTAAATATCTCTGTGCAAATATGTTGCGTGTAAATATTATCTGCATAAATATTCTCTGTCTAAATATTCTTTGTGTAGGCATTACTTGTGAAAATTACACCTTTTCTATGGCTCCTTATGAGCTACAATTATTCCCTCCTTTCCGCATATCTTTGTGGTGTAACTAGAAGCACAATAGCCGCTTATTTGGAAGATCCGGGGTTCGAATCACGGCGAGGGCATTGCGGATTTCTTCAGTTTTCTGGCATAGAAAAAACATCTAAATGATTCTATAAGATAATAAATATGCAGTGGCAGTAATAACTTTAGAAAGATACTGAAACTATTCCTTGCTGTCAATGACAAATATTTCTACTTTCAATATTAAATGAATAAACCATAGTTTTTGTTGATTACATTACATAAGGGTGTTTCTCTCAAGCGAGAACCATCTTAAAAGCATTCAGCTGAGCCGTGTATATGTGTTCACTTGAATTGATATTGATTTAAACAAGTATTTTATAAATTTATATCCCGAGAAGAAAGGGCACTTGGTGATTAGCTTCGAACCATTTATTTAAGCTTTATTTCATGGAAAGAGCCAGAATGTATCAAACACCGCAGACTTAAATGCTACACAGAAAAATTGAATTAATTATATCGTAGAAGTATAAGTGTCTGAGAACTAATTTTTCTGTAAATTTTTATCTTTTATTTTGTAGAAGAATTATCCTCTGGTCTTATGAGGCAAAAAAAGTCAGAAGAAGGTGTAAATGACCCTTTATTCGATCACAAAGAGGTCACAGATGACCGAACTTGGGTTTAGATAAGCTAACACTTCTGGCTTAACTTAACAAGTAATGTTGAACGTAAAATAAAATGTAGTTCAACTAGCCTAATGGCTCACAGGATAATTTAAAAGCGCAGGAAGGCTCTGGCTCGTAGAAGCCGGCGGGACAAGCTTAATGGCTAGAAGCACTCAACGCCACAGAATCAAATCGCTATCGCAAGGTAACAGCGCAACTTTTAAGCAGGCATAACACGTTCTAAAACCAACTTCGGAAACCTCCGCTTAAATAACACTTTTTTCTCCCTTGATTTGAATATAAGCGTTCTGACTGATTTACATTCTGGCAAGAAAGCATAAGTGAAAAGGAGAGTGACAAAAAAGTTACTTTATATAAAAATTAACTATTAGTCAAAATAAATAAATAAATCCTCACAATTTAACCATGTATTTTCAACATGAAGTGCCCCGAATACCTTCGAAAAATCAAATGAATCATCGATTGGAGAATAAAAGTATATTTCAATAAAATTTTGCATATGCTTTGTTTCAGAATCATAACTTCAGCTATTTAAGGACTTATTTATAAGCTATATTATTAAGCTGTGATAAGTAAAATTAAGTCAAGATACAAATATAGTTCTTTAAGGTAAAACTTAAATAAATTTAAAAATGAAATCGGAAAAGGGCTTTATTTCATAATGAGGAGGAAGTAACAGGCTTGACATGCTTATTAAATATTGCAAATTAAAACATTTCTGTCCTTTAGTTTTTAATAACGTTTAATTAGTTCCGGGTATTAGAAGGCTTCCATTCAGAATATATAATTGGTGTCCAAATATGAAATTCACAGAAGAATTTTTGCAGTTAAAATCAAATTAGTTACCAAAATGTCTGCTACAGATTACCTTCTCTTGATCCTGGTATTCGGATCTCTAGTAATTAGAATCCAAGGCCTTTATTCCAAATTGGAAGGTACATCGAATGGATGCGGACCTAATCCATTGTTCACCATCCTTTCGGTGACCGCAGCTTCAGGTAAGATACATGTGGTTTGTACATTTAAGATTCTATATACCTATAAAGAGTATAAAATTGAGATCATGCCAGTTACCTGTGGGTCTTAGGAGGTATATAAAATGATATAATAGTTTTTATTCAAACTATTTCTTAGTTTTAATTGTTAAGATATAATACATTTAATTTCATTAATAAATATAATGAAAAATTATATTTGTTGTAGAATCATTAATAAGGAATTTTTACTACTAATATTTTAAACATATTTTAACGTAACCTTAATATGTTGGCTTTAAGTTAATCACGAAAGATAATTTTTTTATTAATAGTTTTCTTTAATTTTCAAGAAATACTAGTAAGCATAAAAAAATTAGCGATTAATTTAAAATAACTTCTGAATTCCTATTTCGATTGATAAACTTTGATAAACATGAGCAATATTAAATAAGTTTACATCAAACTATCATAATAGAACTTTGGATACTTTGGCATAAATTTCGCGGTAATAAAAACCAATTAACGTTCATGTCTAGTGAAACGCTTATCATGAATAGTGACTCATGACATATAAGGCACTGACTTTTTATTTAAATTTAAAGAATGATTATTATAAAAACTTTAAATCAATTATGCAATATTTGATAAAATAAGTAATGCAACAACTTTGAGTTTGGCGTAGATTTAGTCAAACTTAAGGTTGTTGCATTATTAATTTTAAGTTTCACTTAGCATTTTTCTCTTCTGCTTTCAAGCAATATTTCCTAAAAATTCTCAGTTAACCAGTATTTTTCTGAATTCGTCAGTGAATTTATAAGGTATTTCTCCCGCCTTCTTGGCATGCCTTCGCGGTGTGGTGGTCTGCTTGCTGGGCTCGTATTCCAGAGATCTGTGGATCGATTCCCGGCGAAGACGTTGCTAATTTTTCAATCTCTCTTGCTTGCTTCCAAAAAAATCCTAATGTCTCTACAAAACAAGACTTTATTTCATTTTTCATGCATATAAATGCTGCTGTTCTTGCGAAAATCTGTAATGCAGGTGAAGAGAATTTCAACGGATATTTACCTTTTTTTTTACAGCTAGCTAGTATTTAAAAATAATTCAAAAATGAGTTTTTGTTTGTTTCTTTATCTTTTTATTCATGGTCTTGAGAATGAAGGGTTTTATTACTACTCTTGGAAAATAGCATTACATATAATAATTTTTTATTCCATTTAACGTAATTATGTTTTGAATGATGAAGATGCTGATTATTCAGGGAACTTCATGGAGTATGGAAATGGTTATATAAAGGGTGGGCCATATTGATGTGACACGTTTAAAGTGCATTTGTGAAGCATGTTGAAGGTAACATTTATTACCAAGTATGTGAAAAACATTGACTGTGTTCAGTATTTGAAGATTACATCCTTTAGACGAGCATCACTTTGATAAGAACATTCTTTAGCCCTAACAATTATGTTCAGTAAAGTTTGGAGCTGAGTGCCGGCAAGGATGGCTGATAGCTCCCTTTGGATACTGTTCTTCAGTATATTGATGTTAGTGGGCTTTGTGGTGTACACCTTCTCTTTTAGGTAATCCCACAGGAAAAGGTCCGGCGGAGTTACATTGGGGTATCTAGATGTCCGATGGATATCACTAAATCTGGAGATGAGACGCCACGGGAAGTGGCATCGAAGGATTGTCATTGATACTACTGCAGTATGAGTCGTCGCACCAGCTTTCTGCATCCCCATGTCCCATAGGCCAAGCCTACCCATTTCGGGAAAGAAAAATGCTCCTCACATTGTGTTGTACATCTCGCTGGTGACTGTGATGGTGTCATTAAGCTCGTTATAATGAATAGGGACCCATCATACAGGCATGACTCATTGCACACCACATAGTAACTAACTTTGTAACCACATAGTAACTTTAGCACTAAGCAGTGGCATTTCATGTACTAGTTACGAATTTTGTCTACCCCAGAATCGATAGTTTTGTTTGTTGTTATAACAGTGAGGTGGAAATGAGCTTCATCGAACGTGATAAGGTGTTGCACAAAGACATTATCTTTGCTATAGCGAATCACAGAATGTGGTTCATTGAACTTTATCATGGTCGAAAATTAATGAATCACTTATAGTTTATATGGATACAGCTATAAGACATTTTAAGGATTCGCCGCCATATTGGAACGTAGAACATAAACTTGATGATACAGTTGCTGAGTTGACTTCTTTGAACTTTGCTCAGTGGTACTGGACACACGTTCAATGTTCATTGCACTACACGACGATCAAGGTTTTCCAGGTGAGAGTTTTCCGTTCCCATTTGCGGTCTCATGGAAGTTGTAAACAGCACGCAGTATGACGTTTCGGGGTGGTACTACCTGTTTCTTAAAATGTTGTTTGAAACGTCATTTTGCTGTGATGATGGAACTTCCACTACTTAAGAACGCCTGTACGACATACGAGATTTCAACGGCTGTCCACATTATGATGATTCACTGCGATAATACGAGAAATAAGTATCAGTATTTCCTACCCTTACGCTTTCTGTTAAGCTAAATGAAAAAACATGCATGATTATTATTGCTCTCAGTATTCAAAGTATAAATATGTGCCATCAATATAGCCTAAACTGTGTTCACTACCTGCAAGTAATACACGCGTTAATCACAAAATGGATCCTATTAGCGTACACTCAGTAATCAGTTCATTTAAGGCCAACTGAGCACAAACTTTGGAGCCTGTTCGAAAAGCTGATTTCTCGCAGTTTATTTTTCTTTCAGTCTAATAATTCTGTTCACGTGAGCATATTTTAGGGATATGTTAAGATTTCTTCTCAAAATTTGAAATTTTAACCGTGAGAAAGAACAAATGAAATTTTTATAAAAACTTTATTAATATATTATTAATATGTATTTATAAAGTACATGCTGCATAGAATAAAGGATAACTCACTTTTATAATGGTACTTATTAAGTGCTTAGTTCTACAGCAATATCGCAAAATAATTAAAAAATGAGCATATCTTTAGAATTTCTGATACAGAGTCTCGCGCGCTAGAGATAAAAAATATTTTTTTTTTTTTCCCGTACAGTGTTGCAATTGCTCGCAGTGAAATCGTTTAGTTTGTTAATCAAAAATTCGTTAAAGTGTTACAAAATATGAAATCGATAATAAAACAAATTTCAGATTCAAATTAGGACTTCCACATGCCCATATTCTACGGAAGATTACTTTATTCAAATTTTGATGGCTCTAGGTACTGTTGTTTTATCACAGTGCTAGATACATACATACATTCATGCCGATTCTTTATTAATTAATTTCTTTAAATATAACACAAGGCTCTAATATTTGGTGGGCAACAATTTGAAAAGTGAAACAACGCTTATCGTGAATTGACGCAAAATGCCAAAACGAAATCAATAGTCCTTCCGGGCAAATTACCCCTTTGGACTAATAAATGCCAAATAAATGAAATGTATTGAACTTTATCTAGTTTTAAATGATTAGCATTTCCTCATTTTAATCGAAACTTTATCTGTTCCTTATTTATACATATTGTTTCGGAAATTTTTAATGAGAAAATTTAAATAGCTGTTTATAAAAACTAAAGGTCACCTTCAGAGTGTGCGTATATCATTAATCATAGTACTAAAATATAAAATAAATAGACTGGATTGGGTTATTTAGATTATAGCAAAGTATACAAGAGCCATTTTCGTAAGAAAATGGCTGCCTTCGTGGAGGATGTTTAAAGAAGAATTAAATTTGGGAAAACCAAGAAGATTCCCATGCATTCAGTCTTTTTATCCAGATTTTAATCTGGTTCGAGCTATTAGTGTTCAGAGGTTTTTACTGCTCACCCGCTAATAATACCTCTTATAATAATGTGTATTTTGTAAGATGCTGAGGGATAACTCAAATAGTTTTAGACAGAAACTAATAAATTTCGGGAGACATAATTTTTACAATGAGAAAATTATCTTGACTTTCTTCGTTACGGTTTGCAAAATTACACTTTAATCATAGGTCTGTGGGAAAGTTTATATCTTGTGAAGAATTGCAAGAGATGTGTCAATAACAACTATATGGTATCGAACAAATGCACTGGGTTTAATATTCCCCCCAAAATTATAATGCATAAAATTTTGCGTTTAGAGTATTACGCGACTAGTTGTAATGCATTATCGTTACGAATCCTATACTAATATAGATTTCGTTGCACGCATCAGAACGTATGATAGTCAAAAATCATGCTGCTTTTTTATATGTCAAGAAAGAAAATAATTTTAAATACTCGTGAAAAGTTAATGGCAGCTCGGGCGCTAGAATTGGATTCAAACCGTAACCTTAAAGACTGTTTAAGTTATTCTTTGTTGCTAAATCTTACAAAATGAGTAATATTTCAAAAGAACTACATAAATTTAATATTAAAAATTACCATTCATTCTAAATTCCCATAATTTTGAGGCGGGTTTATTCATTGTTTTTATTTCTGCTTGTTATTTTGACTCGTTGATGTGTCCAATTTAAACTTTCAGAATTTTATGGATTTGTTTTAAAAGCACACGTTTCAGTTCCTCTTATTTTATGCACGAGTATTTAATTTAAACTGTTAAACGTAATTTTCTTGCTGCTATTTTATTTCTAAACTGCGTGCCAGGAAACAAACTCAATCACAGTTTTTAAGATACTAGATTTTCCCCTCAAATTATGCAAACAAAAAAGTAAAAAGCTGTTCTTATTTTTTATAAATAAAACATTATATTTATTTTCTATTCTGTTGGCTACAAGACATATTTAGCAATATAAGTGTGGCCATGCCTTTCACGATCATTACGTGATCAAACATTTCTGCTGCCCAAGGATCAATAGCAGAATTTAGAGCGTTAGCAAACTGTAAAATTATTTATAAAGTAGTTAAAACTTAAATATAATAGCAAGTTGAAAATTCGTAATTCTAAGATGAATTTGTATAAAAAAGTAATATTTAAACATTTTTTTAGGATATGTTTCTGCTACTGACGTCATGGAAGTACTGGACACACATGACGGAATAAAAAGTGATGTGATTGCACTGATGAAAGCTTACGATGATTGCATACGTACAGCAGATGGAATGCGTTACAAGAAAGACAGTATATATGGACTTCCTGAGTTTTACATGAGCCTATATGAAAAGTAACTTAAGCCAAGCGATAACTGCAATATTTATCTCAAATTCATAGTTACATGCATATACCATAATGCATAATTGATAATATATTTTTCTACGTTTCAGTAATTAACTATTTCAAATTATTGAAACATTCTAGAAATTATTGAAGAAATATACTGTAGAAATTATTGACATAGTCTTAAGGTACTGTAAAAATTTTCAGTATCCAAAAGTTGCAGTATTGATTAATCAAAAGTTTTGTATCAGTTCGTATAATTTCCCTCACTGAAAATGTTGCGCCTGAAATTAAATAAAAAATTACATAATTTCTTATCTTCTTCCTCTCTAAAATAATAAAAAAGCATAATTATAGTAACAGGTGATGCGTTTTTCTTCAAATAACTACATTTTATAATCCTTGAAATGTTAATTTTTTAAGTGCAGAATAAAATTTATCTTTGCATTTGTTTCATACGTGTATAATGATGCTGATATGCTTGTATACGAGACAAATGATACGTATGCATTTCATTAGTTCTGACTGAGAAAATACTGCAAGGCAATCTGAAATCACACGATGAAAAGTCTTCAAACAAGATTACAGCGTGAATCTTATTCCGAAAGAAGACACGCCTAAGTTCAAATACATCAAATAATTACATTTAACATGTAAGTAAAGTTATACAATTATATTTAATATGTAAGTAAATTACATTTCGTAAAATTATACCATGAAAAATACACTTAAAGTCGTATTTCAAGTAACGATTCCAAAAAGTGCTGCCGAATTTAAATGGTTTTAACAGTTCTGAATTTTACAACATAACTGGTATGAATATGAAAACAGCTGAAAGTTAATAAGTATCACACAGCAGCATTGTAGAAAATAAATAAAGCAAACGGAAACTTAAAGCAATTATTCATCTATTTTATTAAAATATACATATTATACTTTATTTATAAAATTATGCGTTACAATAATTATAAATACTACAAACTACACATTGGTTATAAAAATATGTTATTATATATATATGCTTATATTTTTTTTCGAATTTTTATCAATACATTTCATTGACTGAAAACGATGAAACTTTTTTTTTTTTTTTTTAATAAAGAAAAGCTTTTTTCTGATAGTACTTGCTTAAAGAGGAGCAAACTGGAAACAACTATTTTACTTAATCTTATTCTTATTATCAGTTATCAGCTTGTTTAATGTCCAGCGATATCAATCAAATAAATTTAATATACATTCCCTTATAAAACATTTTTAACATGAATATGACAAAACCTGTATTAGAAATACGTACTTAAATTTCTATTTGAAACAAAAATAATATTTCATCTAAAAGAATGCGAATTTTAAGTTTCGGTTTTAATGCAATGGGACAATTATGAAACAGGCTTTATTATTTATAGTTGGATACTCCTTGCTTTGAAAGCGCATTTTTGCCTTAGCCATATGAATTTCTATAAAAGGAATAGGAATTATAAGGAAATATTTATAAGCCTTTTCTAAAGATAAATTCTGTTCAAAAATGTTTTGGAAACAATTTGGAAAGCGAAGGTAAATCTTTGCTAGATATTCCATATCAGTTTTCAATATAAAGAACACATTTTAGACAGCAATAAAAATTAATGAGAAAACAATGCCACATATTTCATCATATCTCTGTTTACTGAAGTTCTCATAGCTTTCTCGATAAATGAGAAGAACTAAGTACAGTAAATAATTTTGAACTCAGCATACAGAAAATAGTTTCCAAAGCATGAAACGTACTATAGCAAAGAGTATTTAACGTCTTTTATATTCAGCAAGATCTTCAATGGAAACAAAAATAAGGAACATATCAAAAGGTTTCTTGATATTTCGAAGGCAATATAGATTTTGTTACATAACCCTCCTCACAAAACAGCAATAGGATTTAAGTGGGATTACCCAGCTTGCAATATCACACGAGCCACAGGAAACGGTTTAAAGTTGTGGATGAGAAGAACGAGAATCATTATGAGTCTATCAAGATTTTGGAAAGTTGGAAAATATCGTCATCTATAATCATATACTAGCTCTGAACAGCGAAATTACAAATATATTTCAAATTTGGAGCCAAGAGCATCGTAAATTGAACAGCAATACTTTTATTTATTATCTTAGGCGCTTACAAATAGGTTCAATAATTTAAAAAATACCCGAAAAGTGTTGAGAACAGTGTACCGTATTCAATTGTAGAAAAGCCGAATGGCATACTAGGAATCCGAGCAAAACGCAAAAATTGCTCTGTAGTGTATTTGCTACAGAATAACAGCTTTGGAAATATTTACTTAGAATACTATGTCAACTTACTTTTTTCCATGTCTATTTAAAGAAATTAAAAGTCTAGAAATATATTTAGGTTTTCAATGCAATGAAACTGTTACAATATTTAAAATTATTGACTTTAATTCCAACCAACAAATTACTAGCTAAATGGGTCGTTAACTGAGATATATGATTAAGGGTCACCCAACCAGATAGTGTTTAGTGATTCTGACTGCCCTACCAAAGGGCCCGGGTTCGATCCAGGAGAAGGCATGAATGTTTGTAAATATAAAGTATCTGTGCGGCATGGGGGCACTCTGAATACATGGCGTGGCTGGTAGTAGGGAAAGACTGGTAGAAGATTCTCGGATCCGTCCTCTCGGAGTGCTCTTCTTCAAAACTGAAGGCGGAACCGAGTAAAGTAGTACTGTCACCTGTATAGTGTCTAAGGCTCTTGCCAACGTCAAGCGCAATCTTGTCGACTTGCCACGAGGAATTTCTTGGGCTTGCTCTGTCAGGACTTGTATGTCTTTTTGTTTGCTTTGGAAACATTATGTGTCCTTAATAGGAACAGAGAGCTTACTCAAGCTATGTTCAAATATGTGTGGAATAGACAACACCAGCAGGAAGGGTTTACTTTATCCTTTATTCTCTATAAGATCACAGGTGCTCCCGCACTTCGGGATACAGAGACCAACCACTTGTGGTCTGAACGTAAAAATATAAAACTACTAACTAAAATTCTAAATAAGAGCTAACTTTGAATTAGTTTACAAATGCCTAACACTAAGATTGGCCTTTTAAAAGATTACGTATGTAGTACTCAAACTGCCGAAACTACAATACGTTTTAAATATCAAGAGGACTAAACCTCTGGCCTTAAACGCAAGCAGCAACTGATTGAAAACTCGCGTGTAATGCAGTGGCAAGGCGGCTTCCTTCTTCCCTCTCTCTCTCTTGGCAAAACGCCACAACTTATATACTTGGGCGTTAGCAAGTACAATTTGCATAAACAAGCTAACGCATTTGATTCTGGCCGGAAGTGGAAAATAAGAAAAGATAGTAAAGTTTTAAAATAAAATAAACGTTAGTAAAACGTAAGATCCTTACAGCTCTGATATCAGACAAGCGAGATTAGTCACAACAACAAAAATAATCTGATATAATTAAGCATTTTATGAAGACGAAACTTGAGACTGTAGTTATATTTATAGTTGCTCAATGAAAAATGTTTCGTACTTTAACTGAAAGCAAAATGTGAGTAAAAGAGAGACAAAATTATTGAGAAACAAGTAAAGAACAGGTATCGTTTAAGTTTCAAATTAAGAGATTTAAAATTCATAATATTTAATTCAGCCGATAAGTTGTTAGCAAGATGAGCTTAGTTGAGACATTTGAGATAAGAAGTGTTTTATAAAGTTGAAATAAAAGAATGTGATTATGCTTACATTTGTTCAATAAAAAAAGTAGTTTGTTTTAAATGTGAACAAGAACATGGCAAACGAGTAAATAATATTATTGAACTATAAGGAGAAAGAACAGATTCCAGTTTAAGATTAGTGAATGAGATTCTCTCAATGCAAGATTTTTTTAATGATCTAATAATTGACTCTTACTAATTACTTTAATAGCCATCATTTTTCTTTTTTTATTGTAACTTCTATTTTAAGACTTTAACTTGAGTTTGTAATATAGAAGTTTTAGACTTTAAATTCTAAAGGTCTATATTAAGAATTAGAATTTCAATTTATAAAGACTAATTTCAAACATTAATTTTTATTGAACTGTAGATGTGAAAACTTCATTCGGCATTAACAGATATGCTCTAGCATTAGCAGATAGCATTAGCAGATATGCTCAAACTAGCATCAGCAGATATGTCAAACTAAAATTGACTCAGTCATTACATATTGGGCCACTGCCTACTTAGCCATATCAAGCTACATGTAGCTTGTCCCAGACCAGAGGCGTAACTAGGATTTTCGGGGCCCGGGGACAACTGAGGATTTTGCGCCCCATTAATCTGTGCCAAGAACGGAAAACATTTCATTCTAAAATTTCGTAACATCAATTTAGCGCCTCCCGAATGCTGCACCCGGGGACAGATGTCCCCCCTTGCCCCACCCTAGCTACGCCACTGTCCCAGACACACCCACTAAGTAAGTGTCTGACAACAATAGGAGTACACCTCCATACTACCCCCCTATATTCAACAATGTTCCCCATATTTAATTTTATACATAGTTATGTATTGATTGATATATATATATATATATTTCATTTATTAATTCATTTATCAGCTTCTAACATGTTTAGATGTTTTATTCTCCTACCTTAGTTCATTTAGCTCTTAGCTGCAATTTAAGTTTGTTCATGCAATGCTGTTTTCTTTCCCTGATTGCTCAAAGTGATGCGTGTGCTCAAATCTTCTGTAAATCAAAGCTTCCTGACCTCATTTACATGTTTCCAAGCTATATTCGGACAGTTCAACAGAAGAACGGACAGATAGTTCCAAGCTATATTCGAACAGTTAATTTTATCACTGTCATAGCCTTAGTTTCTTCCGACGAATTGATATCTAAACTTCGTATCTCACCATATCATCTTGTAGAGACATTAGGTATATTTTTGGATGCCGGAGAAATGAAAAATGAGCAACGCCTTCGCCGGGAATCGAACCACGTACCTCTGGAATACCGGCCCAGCGTGCAGAACCACTACACCACGAAGCCATGCTAGGAAAGTGGGAGAAATACCTCATAATCTAAACACCAGTCCGAGACCAACCCGAGCTTTGACCAGTATTTTGAGTCTTAAAAAGTTTTATAAAATTTATTTCAAACCATTAGAACTTTAAAACTTAAAAACTATGATTAAACCCTCTAAGAGAATTGAATATCTATGACGAAATATTTCTTACTCATATGTATATATATATAGTATATATGATATGATTTACAAGATGTTACCTTTTTTAAGAAAGGCAATCATCTTCTTTATCTGTACAGAGTCAAAAGCCTCACTAGAGTTAG